AAGGGAAGTGGTGCTGGTTCCTACCCTGGGGATCTTTAAGAAGAGGCTTGATGCCTACCTGGTTGGACACATTTGAGTCCAGTCTCTGCTCCCGCCCAGACGGGGGGTCAGACTTGAAGATCTACAAGGTCCCTTCCGACCCGACTTCTTTGATTCTATGAGTCTCTCTGATAATGCTCTGTCTATAAGTGGGCTGTGGGGATCCCATGGGAATCCAGCTCTCCTCTGTTTTCTGTTACAGGTGGTTGGATCCTAGAGAGATGACGTTGGAGAGAATAGGGGAGATGTGGGGAAAGGGGAACCCAAAGCTATGGGGGGGAGGCAAGTGGGTAGGGGTGGACAGGTGGCAGAAGGTTGCCTTTTCTCCAGTCTGCCAAAAAGTGGGTCAGTCTGAGCCAACTGTATGGAAGAATCCAAATTCTATCGTCCCACATTCCTCCAAATTCTGATTCAAGTTTTCTCCAACAGCAGAAGGACTTTGGCCTCAACTTAGTCATGGGGGAGACAGAGATCCCTGCTACAAAGCCCCGTAACCAGGGTCCTACTCACCACTTAAACAAATGCTTTGTGGCTACACCAGTGCAGCATTTCAGTGGCACTTACAGCCTGGCCTTGTATTTCCTTTCAAGTGACTCCTGACAAGCAAAAAGGCTCGATTATTTGTGATAGTCACAACAGAGAGATGTCAAGAAGCTGCTGCCTCCAACTGTAAAGTAAATACTATGTTTTAAGTTACAGCAGTTCACTGGTCTATGCAGAAGAAGAGTGGGAGGTTGCATTGGTCAAATACAAAATGCTCATGTCTGGAGAGTGAAACTCCACAGAAGCAAACCCCACGGTATTAAGGTTCCTGGGACCATGCAGCAGAAACTGTGCTAGGAACACCGCCACGTAGGCAAGCAGGCAAGAGACGGCCCAGATACAGGGCGTTAGGACCGTAATGCAATACTGCAAGATCACCACCACCCTTCTTTTCCTATCATGCAGGAAATGAATCACAAGTGTAGAAAATTACCACTGAGAAGACTGTCAGTTCTAATCTTGATTTATTCAATGATTTCAGTGAAGAGCCTGGGCCTAAGATGCTGATTAAAAATTAGAAATACTACTTCTGTCTGAACAGGTAACCTCTGAGTAGAAGGTAAATTAAAACTAACATGTTCTGGAAGGGAATCTTCTGAGAACTCTCTACAACAATGTGGAAGGGCACTACCTGGCACAACCCCCCCCACCCCCAAAAAACCAAAACAACAAGCAACCAATGGATTAACTAGAGCTCAGCTTCCTACCTCTGTAAAACTGGTGCAAAGTGGATGCCCAACAGACAGAGGGAGGAAGGTTGAGTTTCACCTAGCAACACAGCATTGGACTGAACACTAACCAGAGTCTTGTACCTGTAAAATACTTGCTTGAGTACCCGTAGAAATTAACCCTGGAGGGTAAAATCTTATTGACTGCAGCTGGCTTTTCTTCCTCTGCAGAGACATCTCACCTGCTTACAAACCCATCTAAACTTAGTGACTCTAAAACACAACAGTCCTGTCTGAGAGGCACAGAAGCTGTGCCCCAATGCTCCAGAACCAACACAGGGCCTTCCATAGCAGTGACATGGTCCTCTAGGACTTCTTCCTTTTGGCTCTGGCAGGCCACAATTTTGCCACTTTCAAGCAGCAGAACAGAACTGAAGTTATACTGACAGGCTGTGTTTGGGAATAAGGTCCCCAGAGCTATCACTCTACAGGAACTGCAGCTGTATGCCACCTTTCATTCTCTGTCTAGTCCATCCACTGCCTCATCACCATAGCATATATGCACCTTCTCAGCCTGCAGTAGGCAATGCAACAATCATCTCCCAGATAATCATTTTCTGCAGCTGTGTGGCAGAGCATTTGATTTTGGTAGGCTTGTTTTGGGATGCATTTGGTTTTGACGTGGACACACCTCTTTTTATTTATAATGGGAAGTACAGTTTGGAGAAGGGCACTGACAGCTAGTGCAGAAGGTGGCGAGATGTGGATTACTCCTTTGTTCTCATTCTCTCTCATTTCAGACCTTTCGAAGGAGCCTGGGATGTTCTAGAGCAGGGCTGTCCAACTGGTGGCCTACACATCCAACAAAGGCATGAAGCCCCTGATGGGTTAAGCTGGGGCCCCAGGGCTCCCAGTCTTGGTACCACTCCCTGCCTCCATCCCACCTCCTTCCCACAGCTTCTACTTCCTGCCCCTTGGGGTGGGCCAGTACTCCTTCCTTGTGCCAGGAGACTCCTCAGCTGCTGATGCAGGCAGTAGTGTGCTCCAGTGTCTTCGCAGAGTATTCTTTCTGGATCTCTCCACAGGCCTGGATTCTACCCCTTGAGTATCAGACCTCTTCCCAGGAAGCCTCCAGCTCAGGGTTTGGGGAGGGGACCCCAGCCACTCAGCAGTTAGAGAGGTATTTCTAAAGGATTCAAGTGCTTTTCAGAGCTTCTGGCTTGAAATAAAGAGATGCACTAGAATGAGTGGGTAGGATATTGATCCTAGTATAAAGATCAAGATAATGCTTTTTGAAAAGTGATTAAAAAAAACCCAAAAAGCTTACACATTACCCTGCAACCAACCTGGACCCAAATCCTGCCCACCCTATCAGTTCTACAGGAAAATAAAGCCAGATGTAGCATGCAAATGCATTTGTGCTGGGCAGCAGCACTCTCAGACCCACCCTTGTGCAGGCTAATTGGCATGCAGGTGGGCTAATTAGCACCAACACTCAACAGGACTAACTAGCCCACCCACAGTGCTGCACCAATACTGCTACACTACTTCCAGTTCTGGAGGGAGCCTGCCCTGAGCAGCGCAGCATGGTGGAGAGTGTTACTGCCTTGCACAACAAGGTTGCACGACAGGCAAGGCTTACCTGGGGCACACTGCCCAGCCTTCTATAAATGGAACGTGACCCTAGACAGACTAGTCAAAGCTGGAGCTGGAAGCACCCCCCCCCC